GGAAAATAAAAGGTGGGAAGCATAAGTTGAAGGTAAAGCCTGATGACCTTTAGAGCCATATTGTTTGATACTATGTGTATGAGCTCAAAGGGGGTTACCACTCAATGATACAATCATTCATAAAATTGGCAAGGAGGGAAACATATTGAAAAAGAATCCGTAAGACGGATACAGAAGAAGACAGCTGGAGAAATTTTGATTCCATGTATGATGTTATTTTACTGTTATTGGGTGAGGTGATCTGTGTATTGGGAACTGGATTAAACAAAACTCAGAAATTAAGGAACCTGAATCTGGAATATTTTGAATTTTAGAACAAATAATGTAAATAGATTAACTCAAAAAAATTGTAGACGATATTCTGGTCGCCTCAGTCAGGTGGCATGACTTGCTGGTTCCATCATGGCCTTTGATTAACCTATTGTTGTATTGTTCGTACTGATGATAGTTATTTTCATTGTAGTTTTAATCTTCTAGTGTAGGTCGCATACTCTTACTATACGTTCTCACGCGGCTGTCGTTGATTTGTGTCTGCACCTGCATTTGTAACGTGCTGTCAAATATCGTGGGGGGTGGATTGTGTAGGATGGGCACAAGGGCTAAACTTGTTGATGATATTTGGCAGCTGCATGACCTTGAATGAGTCCTGTGAACATTTCTTTATGTGCCAAAGCTGGCACAATCAACATGTTTTTCTGTAATTATTTTTCTGTGCCTGGCTGTTTGTTACACTGTATAAGAGAGAGAGTTTTGTTCCAAGCCACTGGACTTCACCTCAGACCAGGATCGTGAACTGAGCCAGCAACAACCTTAGCCTCCAGACAAGCTGTCGATCACAGGTTCCCCGATGGGCAAAAGGGCACGAGGCTTATTATTTTCTTCCTCTCATTTTTCATTCTTTTTATTTACTTCATAAATATTCCTTTCTTTTTTAGTCTTTTATTATTACTCAATAAATGTTCACATTTAAGCAAATTGATGTTGTTGAACCCTCTCTTAACTACATCTAACCAAATCCGAAAAGAACCACTTGGATATGCTCTGTGATCCCTGTGTCTGCATGGGTTTCCTCTGGGTGCTCTGGTTTCCTCCCACAGTCCAAAGATGTGCAGGCTGGGTGGATTGGTCATGCTAAATTGCCCGTAGTGTTCAGGGATGTGTAGATTAGGTGGGTTTATAGGGGGATGGGTCTGGGTGGGATGCTCTGAGGGTCGGTGTGTACTTGTTGGCTGAAGGGCCTGTTTCCACACTGTAGGGGTTCTATGATTCTATGATAGAAGGGAAAAGAAAAATAACAGCTACATTTGGCTAATGCTTTAAAGAGAGAGAAACTATTTTATTTTATTACATATATTATTTGTATTATCTATGTTCCTTTTATAATGACAAAGCCAGGTACTTGATAAGGATCTAACAATGTAAACTTACTTGTGCAAGTTTAAAATACTGCAAGTTCTGATTCTACCACACCTAGATCTCTCTATACCTAGTGCAGACATTCTCCTTTAAAGTAATACTTTGCCAAAATGAACAACTTATGTAGTGTATGATTAGGTTTGTGACTATATAATCCTTTTTGACCTTTATTGCTCAAGACTATATTAAATAAATATTTTGATATACTTCACTACCTTGTCTTTTACAAACTAATTGTCATCATGCACTTATATTTTATACACACAGTTTTAAGTCAGGTTATATACAACTTTACCGATTGTTATAAAAAGAAAGTATCCTTTTAAGTACCAGCAGCTACTCATAAAAACACACTCCTCAGCAGATGGTCTCTAAAAATGAATATCAATTATGTGCTTGATTTAATGAAGAACTCTAATCAATTCAGTTGTACTGAAACAGTAGGCTCAGTGTACCAGTCATGAGGACATGATAGAATACATTCTTCTATTCTGATGTAATGCAGAAAGAAAATATTGTAATGTGTCCTTTATCTAAGTGAGAAATCATAAAAATCATAGACACAAACTATGTTGAAAAGGATGGGCTCCTGAATAAGTAACACCATGGGGGACCAATAAGGAGACGATAGGAAGTGATGCCACCAGATGACTAATAATTTTAAAGAAACCAATCAGGAATTAGGCAGACATTACTTAGCTAATCTAAGATTGACGATGAACTGTTCATGCATTAATAACCCAATCAGCATTTAAAATGTCTCTGATCATACACCAGGGTAATGGCAAGTAAAAGTTCCTAGTGCCTGGTTCTCAGTGTTTTGGTGCACAAGACAGTATGCTGAAGACAGAATAACAACCTATGAATAGAACAGGAGACCAATGCCCAGTCAACCAGCGTCATGAACTGGGATACCAAAGTGGGTAGACTGAAAAGCCACTGCTCTTATTAAGCATAATTTCTTTCGTACTTGGTATAGACTTTATAAACTTAATAAATTATATGAAACCTGGGAAAACATATTTGTATCTGAAATGGGTCTTATAGCTATTCAGGACTAGTAAACATTCAGATTAGTTGTCTCTAATTAGTTTAAAATGGTAATTGATTTACATCTTATAAAATTAAATTGAACCCCAAAATCTCACACTTGTATGTTCTATGTTCTATGCTCGTTTGTATCATCTCAAAGGAAATTAGTGATTGACAATGAATATTGTTCTTGTTAGCAATTTCCACATCGTGTAAATCAACACATAAAAATGATAATGACCTGAATAGACTCCTCAGATACTCAAGTAGTCCATGTCCAAATGCACTAAGACCTGGACAATATCCAGGCTTGGGCTGAATAAAATGGCAAGCCACACAAATGCTGCCACTGACCATCTCCAATAACAGACAATCTAACCAACAGTCCCCCCTTGTCATTCAATGGCATCACCATCACTGAAATGCCCACAATCAACCTCCTGGGAGTTACCATTAACTAGAAACTGAACTGGATTAGCCATGTAAACACAATGGCCATAAAAGCAGGTCAAAGGCTAGGAATCCTGCAGCGAGTAATTCACCTCCTGACTCTCCAAAATCTGTCCACTGTCTACAAGGCATAAGTCAAGAGAGTGTGATAGAATACCCTCCCCATTTCTCGATGAGTGCAGCTCCAACAACACTTAAGCTTGACATTATCCAAGATAAAGTGGATAGGCACCATATCTTCAACCTATAATGCTTGGTAGAACTAGTGTGTACCATCTATAAGGCGCTTTCAGGAATTCACAAAAGATCCTTCGACAGCACCTTTTTAATCCATAACCACTTCCATCTACAAGGACAAGGGCAGCAGATATATGGCAACCCTACCACATGCAAGTTTTCCTCCAAGATACTCACCATCCTGACTTGGAAATATGTTGCTGTTCCTTCACTATTGCTGGGTCAAAATCCTGGAATTCTCTTCCTAATGGCATTGTGTGTCTACTTATAGAACATGAAGGCAGCTCACCACCACCTTCGCAAGGGCAACTAAGAATGGGCAATAAATGCTTGCAGCCCAAGATTGAATAAAAAAAGCTGTGAAAAAATGCGATAGTCAACAGAATGAAGAGTGAAGAGAAATATCCAGTAAATGAAAAAAATAAAGAAATCAAACAAGTTAGCAATACAAGAGCTCATGCAAACAGAAATGAAAGCAATATACCAAATCACATTTAAAGAAAAAGCAGGAGAATTCAAAGTTGCAAATGTGTTTGCCCCAATAGAAATATGGAACTACTACTCTATTCATTGTAATATAACAGAATTTAATGTAAAATCAGAAAAAGCAGACTCAAGAGTTGTAATAACATATGGATTGATATGATTTTGAAATAAAATTGATTTAATTGTGTACATGTGCAATAGCATCTTCTGTATGTATAACAATTTTTCAGTGATTAAGCATTTTGTTGGTAACTTTATTCAACATTATAATTATATAATCACTAAAACCCATGCAAAGCCTTAAAATGGAGCCTGGCTTATCCTGGAAGGTACACAGATTTTCTTCAGTTAACAGGAGGTAAGTACATAAAAAGAGTTCCAAGCAGCTTGACAGGTCCAGAATATCTGATCAACGCATGGTAAAAATGGCAATTAGCACATGCCTGCCATAAGAGCATTAGATCATAAGGAGTGGGAACAGGAGTAGGCTATTCAGCCCCTCGAGCCTTCTCCACCATTCAATTGGATCATGATCCAATACACCTCCTGTCCACTTTCCTCATAACCTTTGATTCCCCTACTGATCAAGAATTTCTCTCAGCTTTAAATATATACAAGGACCCTGCAACCACAGCTCTCTGTGGCACGGAGTTCCAAAGACTCAAACCCTCTGAGAGAAGAAATTCCTCCAAATCTCAGTCTTAAATTTGCCCCTCTTATTCACAGATTATGGTCTCTCATCCTAGACTCTCCCACGAGGGGAAACATCCTCTCAACATTTAACTCCTAAAGAATCCTATATGTTTCAATAAGACCACCTCTCATTCTTCTAAACTCCAATGAGTAGGGACCCAATCCGTTTAACATTTACTGATAAAACAATCCCTCCATAGCAGTGATCATTCTAGTGAACCTCCTCTGAACTGCCTCAAATAAAACAATCTTTTCTTAAATAAGGAGACAAAAACTGCTCACAGAACTCCAGATATGGTTGTTCAACCTGCAATGCAGCAGTCTCACAGGAAGACTGCAGTTGCACAGAATTTCTGGTTATAGGAAAGCCTTCTGGTGCCATTACCCTCATCTCCCTTTCACTACATAGCTCCTCATGTCCCATTTTTTAATTTATTCATGGGATGTGGACATCGCTGGCTGGACCAGCACTTATTGCCCATCCCTAATTGCCCAGAGGGCAGTTAAGACTCAATCAAATTGTTGTGGGTCTGGAGTCACATGTAGGCCAGACCAGGAAAGATGGCAGATTTCCTTCCCTAAAGGGGATTAGTGAACCAGATGGTATTTTCCTGACAATCAGCAATGGATTCATGGTCATCATCAGACTCTTAATTCCAGATTATTATTGAATTCAAATTCCACCATCTGCTATGGTGGGATTTGAACCCCGGACTCAAGAATATTACCTAGGTCTTTGGATTAACAGTCCAGAGACAATACCATTAGGCCATCACCTGCCTTAATTCTCTTGATGCAACAATAAAGATTATTGGCTGTCATTATACTGCAGGCACTGATTAGCCTTTTCACCTCTTCAGGCTGCTGGCTTTCTCAAATTGGATTGTGATCTCAGAGGAAGGTGCTTAATTGACCAGCTTCTGTGAGATTGCACATGAAATCCTGCTCCTTCCATTAACAGGACTGGAAGGCAGAACTGGATCCCAAGGCCCAAACATTTTTAGAATCTAGAAGATTCAATCTATTGGATCAACATTGAGTTCACCTTATAACACCTGGTTCAGTTTTTGGCACATACAAACCAAATTGGGCCATTTGACACAGACAAGTAAATTACAAACATAGAAATATATAATTGAAGTGCTTGCAGATTTATAACTGTTAAAGTATATGTATTTATCATACAAGCGACTAAATAATAAAGTTATGCCAGGGATACAAAACGGTTAAACTTTCATCATCTGCTCTCAGATCATGAATGTAGTGAGTTAAATAAAGAAGAAACAACATAGTCAGTGGCAATTCCATCTATAAATCCTTTCCCACTGGAGTGAACAAACCAGCATGGGATATTGATGCCTCGGTTTGAATCAAGCCTGTAATCTTTCTCAGACACCCTAAAAATGAAAGATAAATCAATAAAACGCATGGCAGAAATGTACAGACAACTATTAAGTAGGATAGATTGAAAATATCACAAGGGCTCTTCAACATTACCTTGTTACTCTAAGTTTGTGACCTTTTACAATCATTGTTGCACGAAGTTTGTCTTGATGTAAGCGAGGGCTAATATTACGTATCACAGCATTTACTTCATTGTAAAACTGACCTGTGTCAAAATAAAGATATAATAATAAACCAGAACATCATAATTGTCATAAGTGCAGGGTTCCCATGGAGAATAAAGAAAACTTAATTTATTCATCAGTGAGGATTCATAACGGGTGAATAGGTTTAGAAGTTTTTTCTGTATTTTGAAGTTAAACCAAGAATTTCAGTTTTCTCATTTTGAAATGCTGTCCCTTGTACAACAAATTACTAGTAATTTAGTTTAGTATAAAATTAATAGTTAATCTTGATAATTCAATTAAAATTTATTTAAAATAGAGGGTGGAAATTAATGCTACCTCCTTGGAAAGGGGTTCAGACACACCAGGGGGTGAGGGTGTGTACTGTGAAGGCACAGGGTAGAGATCCTATTGCTTCCCTATAATTTAGTGAAAACAGGCAGGCTAGAAGGCGGCCTTACTTGCCGAAGCCCAATTGTGGCACGTAAGTAGCCTTATACTGCCAACACTAATATTCAGTTATTGGTAGGTACAGCCAAAAGGGAACAGCCAGGAATACCCTGGTTGTTCGGGCTCTGGCCTGATTTGATGATCCCTCCTCGTCAGATGTTCTGTGCCTGATAGAAGCTGTCAACGGCCAGAATGGAGGGACCCTGGGCAAGATTCACCTTCGCCCTCTAATTGGCCTTGTTTCCCCACTAATCCAAACTGATCACAGTGGCTTCCATGTCCCAACAGGCTCTTTCCCACTTATCTATTTCCTGGGGTATCGTTATTGATCCCTTTTGAGGCATACACAGCAGTACTGGCAGTGGCAACCACTGCAGTTTAAATACCATTGGGCCTTCTGAAATGGCCACAGTAGGGTTGCCACTAGCATTCCAGCTGATGGATGGGTTCCCTGCCGTGGCCATTAAATTTCATGCAAAGTTTGGAAGAGGTACTTTCAAAAATGGCAGAATTGTGGCTGAGATTTTCCATTTTACAGCCTATGTAGGAGTAGGTGTGCTCAGTGGCACTGGCTTCTTTCCCCCATCAAAAGGAAAGCTCACCACGTTGAGCACCAATCTGCTTAAGAGCTCACTGGTGAGCTTCTCAGTGAATCACAGGTCTTCGCATTGAGGTCTCACCTCACCAGAAGCTACCAGCTGACATTGGGCAGATTGTCTCCGGAGGCCTAGTCTTCAGGTATCCTATGTTGAGAAGGTAAGTCTTTATTATTTTGCATCACACTGGGTAAGGAGCTGGAAACAAGAGGACGGGGGCATTCAGCAGCTGCCTTCAATCCCTTATCCCTGCCCCTGATTGCCGCCACATTAGGTAAATGGAAGAACCAGGTAACCTTGGTTTTCACCAAGGAAACAGCCTCTTTTACCGCATGCTGTGAAGGTAGGTAATCAGGTCATTGATAGGTTAAGGCACTTCAGAGTCTGTTGATCACTTAAGGGCCTTAACTGCCAGCAATAGACTTTTTTTCCTAGCACTTAATTTCTGAGGTGGTGAGATGGGGGCAAATATCTCTACAGGTCCAAATCACCCAATTATTTGTCATTCCCATTGTCTTCAACATCTTGGGTGGAGGTGGAAATTTGCACAAATGATTTCCATTAATCATAAGTTCAAAAGTTTAAATATTTTCTGTTCTAAATCCCCTTAAACATGTGCTTTTCACAATTTATTTCACAAATGAGTAATTGAACTGGTGCAAGTTTTTCATTTCGTGATTCTATCCAGTGACAAAAACTAAATAGATGGCACTAAATTCAGTGCTAGTTTCAGTTAAGATGTAAATTGGGACATATAACCTGCAGTCATAACTAAAGATGGTACTGGAGTCTACTAGATTTTATTAAAAAAGAAATTTGTAAAACTTGCTCAAACTATATCTCCTGTTCAATGTTTACAATACCAACAGCAATCTGTATTTATATAGCATGTTTAATGTAATAAGACATTCAAAGGCACTTCACTGGGACATTATAAAACAAGATACGACACAAAGATATATTAAGGCAATTAATAAAAACTTGGTCAAAGTGTTAGGTTCTAAAAGATGTGTAAAAGGTAGAAACCAAGAGAGAAATGTGGAAACATTTTAGATGGAAATTCCAGAGTTTAGGGTCTCAGTAGTGAAGGCATTGTTATCAGCAAAAGAGCTTTTAACTGACTGGGCAACTAATGAAGTGAATAGTCTACATACCAAGCAATCCATGGGTCACATTTGACAAGTTGTGGCTGTCAAGTGTATAAAATCCCAGAAAATCTCTGTGTACAGTGTGGTTTTTCCTCACATGATGCAGCACAATAACAAATTTTGCGTCATCTCCCATTGTTAGTGTGAGATTCCTTTCTTTCACAATTGAGATTGAGAAACTGGGAAATAAATATGTTACAGATGATAAGTTATGCCATGTCTAATCTTTGATATCCCAAATGTTGAATGAATACAAATAAACCTTTTAAAAATTTTCCCATTCTCATAATCTATTTTGATCATTTTTATATACAAATAAGCATACAATCCAACAAAAAAACACTCAATTAGTCTGTTCTAACTATCATTCTGTTAGCTTTTGCTATCCAGATGAAACAATCATATACCAGCTGATCAACCACCTCTTACTTCAATGGCAGGATCGAAGTGCTTCTCTGTCTCAGATCTCAATCCTTCATACGTGGTTCTCAGTCACACTTTCATTTTACTGCAGGGTATTGGTCATTCCTCATTCCATATCTTCTTGCATTCCCCATGCACTCATGCCCCAAAACCCGTCTTTAATAAAGTTGCATCTTCAGTATTTTAATGTTAGCTTTACTTTGTTTTGTCAAGATTTTAGATGTGAAAGGGATCTGAAAGAGTAGCTGACAGATGCATGGAAGGAATGGGAGATGAACCCAGAATCAGTCTGAAAGCAAGGAAGACTGCTCCTGGTGAAACATCCTTTCAGTGTGAGCGATCCCAGGGCTCAAATATGATGGTAATTATGGGTTTAGGGCTAAGAACAGAAAACAAGAGGAGTAGGACGAGACCAGATGGCCTCTAAAGTGTTAATCTATCAATTATTATGGCCGATCTTCTGTTTCAGCTCAACGTTCTTGTCGCTCTCCTTATCAGGCAGTCAGAATCAGTGTTTTGAAAATAGGGGTTCTTACTATTCACTCTATGTTTGGAATTGGACTTGTGAATTGGCATGGAAGCCAACTCCAGATTTTGCCATAAACTTCTAGATTGTCCAACTTCTCAGGTTAGGGCTGCCTTTTCCATCTATTTTATGTCTTTTTGATGATACAGCTATGCTTCGTTTTAGATTAGAACTTAAAAGGATGTGCACTCATGTGCGAATTCCGGACAGTTACTTTCCTTTTTAGTTCCTTTTCCACATTAGTTTTGTTATCGTTCAGGCACAGTTGATTTTCTGTTGGAACCTACTTTCCCTCTATGGCCAGGTGGAAGTCCTGCCTGCCGAGAGCTGCTTATTTCTCTATTGAGATCAGAACGAGAGGCTCCTGATCACCATATGCCCTGACAACAAAGATAAGTGAAGACAGGATGCTGACCTTGGACTGGGTGTTGCAGGAAAAGGGGACTAAATTATTGTGGATTCAAGAATAATGGGTATCAATTGGCTCATTAATAAGCATAATTAATATCCCACTGCTTGTAGCCTTTGTTAGCCTCTTGTGTCCTCTGATTTACACAAGGGAGGTTTTGTGGCTGTTGAGAGATTGATACAGGCCCTGTTCTACCATTAAGTGAACCTGGCCACCATGTTTCTTGCTTTAAAAGGCTAAATTAATTCTAGCCAATTGAGTTTTTAGGTTGAAACTAGATTTTTGATAGGATTTATTCAGCAGAATGGTTGAACACATCTTGTTTAGGAAAAAATTGGATAGTTGTTTTTAACTTGAATGACATTGGATGGGGCATAGAAGCTATCTGCTCAATGATTTCTAGATAATCCATTAGCCACAATCTATGGGAGGAACAACGGAAAGTCTGCACTTCCAGGCCATGTGTACTTCTGGTAACCTACACGTGAGTAGTCAACTGCTACTTGTTTTCTATATTGGATTTACATGAGATTGAGACTGTATTTATGTATGCCCCATGTAATTTATTGCAGTGTATCATATATCTTCCTCTAGAGGACTTATCGGACAATGAATTGAACAGTTAATAATTCTCCTTTAGATTGAAGCGAGCCATCACATTCTGTTTCTTTGTAGGCACAGCTGACGTATGTTTCCATGATTTTTAAAAATGGTATAATCAAATACAATGTTTCTTTAAACTTTTAAATTTGTGCTATGATCCTTATTACATTATTACAGTTACTTAGCTTCTCTTGAAGCATTTCCCAACCTGTTGATGCTTGGTTAATATAATTCTAAAAAGAAAATAATTAAGAAGTTTCTTCTCCCTGATGAGGCTTCTAGCCAATCCACATCCAACAACCTGATCTAAAAACTCTGCTCATATTTTGACAGCAATAACAAATTCCATCACAGCAATTGAGACAATCCAAAAAGTTTTAAAACAATCAAGACTGTAAATTGAAAATGTACATAATTCTAACAAAAAGTCAGTTCACCCTATCTCCCAATGTTTATAAATCCTTCATAAAATCCCAGTGTCCTGATGTGCATCTTTGCCATAAAACCAATCAGTTCTTCCACAGACTATAATCTGTGTCTCAATTCTTATTGAAAGCCATCCATTAGTTTTTTGAAACATATTGTTTGCACACAGACTGACAAATAGGCTTGCTCAACTTTAGCGGCAGAAGTAATAACTTGTTGCATGCCAGGTGCTCTGTAACAATTCTCAGGTGATAATTACAATAAAGCACCACAAATATCTTCATTTCATAACATATGTCCTTTGTATTGTTAATTAATGCCAATCAAATTAACTTTACTTCAAGTATTTGACCATTATGAATCTTCACCTATGTTTGTTATTGCTTTAATATTGCAATTGTCTTTCGTCTGATGGTTGAGATCTTGGTCCTTACTTGTGTTTTGTACTGAAATTTTTCTTCACATATTGGAACAAATGTAACTGCAAAAGTAACACATAAATTGGTGAAAAGGCATTGATAGTTCAAATAATGTTTGCCATTGCAAGCATTTTGTGAGAATTGAAGTAGTTGAACATTTGTTTTTTGGCTGGATTCATACTGATGTCGCCACCAACTGTTTCTGAAACATAAATGCAATGCTGCAGTATAACCATATAAACTGTACCTTTCTTTTGTTAAAGATACTGTTTCTGACCAGGGGAAAGTAATCTCATCATCTCCATGATTTATTGCAATAATTTCTGTTGATATTTCAACTTTTACATCCATTTTATTGTTTGCAATTCCAAGCTTTCCAAAGTAAGTTTTCATTTTCTTGTTATCTTTTACTTCCTTCACTCCAATCAATTGTCCATTTACCACAAAACCTAATTAAATTTAAAAACATTAATGCATTGTGATCAATTGTCCCATGTCAAATTAAACTCTGGATAATCACATCTACATAAAACAAATGATGAATGAAAATAATTGCTATGGAGAGGAACAAGCAAATGGGTCATCATATGAACCAACAGAATTATTGATAGCTGAGAAAAGTGATTGATATTTTACATTATGACGATGTTTTAATGCGGAATACTTCATCACAGTAGCTGTAACATTTCTAGAAAGAGGTCCTTTTGATTTATAACTAATTTGATAAATGTCAGACAACAATAACATTCAATGATATGCTAAGACAGGAAGGATGTTAATATTCAATGAAATAGTCATGGTATCAAGAATGAGATGGTGTATTTATTGTAGATATAAGGAGCCCTACCCAATATTCTTCATCAATGGCTGATTACTCATGGAATCCACATGTAAGGGTATGGGGAAATATGAAATAGAGGAAATATTAAGTGAAATATCTATAAGATTTGCACAAAATAAAATAAAATTTGATAGGTCACTTCATAAAATCGGAAGCATGATACTAAAATGTTCATTACAAATATTGCAAGTTCAAATCCTGGCTCCATCTGTCATTTACAATGAAATGTGGAAAAGCACCATCTGAGACATTGATTTAATGATTACTGCAAATAATAATGGTGTTTTTATTTCCTCTTTCTTTTTCCTTTAAATTAGTAAACATTTTCCTCAGATCTTCCTTCATAAGGCAGGAAGGTGAGCAGGTCAACTGGTAGAATTATATAATGACCAGCTTTAACATCATTGCTAATTTAAGGCATTTCTATTTGTTAGTAATACACAGCAATTACACCTACCTTTATACGGATCAGTGACCAGATTTAGAATTGCCCCTGGTTTCCCATCAACGTTGAAACAAATAGCATCACTGTGGTCATTTATTGAAGCAATAAAATGAGGATCGCTGTCAACTTGAAAAAGATATTAAATTGTAAGAACATTTAAATTATTGCCACTTCTGTATAAGACAATTTTAAGTTCATATTGCATCAATTTCACATTTTTTTTACAAATGTAAAACAATCTGCAAAGGAAGCAAGTATTTCCTTTCGAGTGATCGGAATTTGTCTGGGAGACTGGCTTATAAACAATTGACTCTGCACTTCATCCGACAATGTGCTTAATGGCCATTGGCTTCTCGTAGGCTGTTAAGTATTGTCATGAATATCTAGTTCATAATTTATATCACATATAATATTTAGTATTAGGAATTAAAGTTTTAAAACATGGGAAACAGAAAAGCAATTCTAAAGTAAATGGAATTCAAACAAACTTGGAATTAATTATGTTTAAAATTTAATCTATGTTTATTGTGCAAAGTCAGCACTGATAAGGAAGAAAACTTGAACACTGTACAACTCATTTCTGCTTTTCTTATTAGAGCTAGGATGTGTATTGTTATTTCCATAAAGAAGCTAAAATTTAGCAGCCAGTAATACAACTTAATGCCATATTGAATAATTTAATGCAGCATTGCAATAATGCATAGTTTAAAAGACTGTCAAACAAAGAAAATACTGCACAGAGTTTAGTAAGCTCAACAGCAATTGAATTTAAAAATTGATGCATACAAAAAATATAAACTTAAAGAACAGCAAACCAGAAGCAACATTGATATGATACAGATTGAAAACAACTTTGCTGTAATAAGAATTAATAAACAGAATGAGAAGAACTGTAAGGAGATATACTACATCCACTAAGATTGAAGGTCAGCGAAGGGCTAATGTCTAATAAGCACATTAATACAATATCATGTTCAGGAATCACTATTACATTCGATACTCCATGGATCAGATCCAAGATCAACAATCCTTAAGCAAAAGTCCTATTATTCTGGGAAAATTGTAAGATGTCCAGTCCATCTGCACTGTGAAGTTGGAAGTTTGGTGGGAGATAGTTTCGTGGTGGAGGTAATACACAGGATTGTATAGTGCATTAATTTTAGGGAAAACAATTTTGAGGGAGATGTTGTATTAGGTAGTGGTTCTGAAGAAGTTACTGCAGAAGTTACATCCACCCAATCTGATGATTTCACTGAGTCTTTGGATTGAGACAGGGAGCTCTCCACTATCATTTGCAGGGAGCAGATATATTTTGTACAGGTCCTGAGAGTCTTTAGTCACTATGCTTGACTAGTGATGGAGTTGCACTTATTGCTTATATGCAATAAACCAACTTGTTTACTAAGACAAATACCTCTGTCCTAAAGATCCTACAGTGGAGTACTCTCTACATAGATTCTAAGGACAAAATAAACAAAGGATGATTGGTGGTAGTGCACTACCTCAAACAACCCTTGCATTGTGCTACATATTGGCAAAGATGGCAAATACTTCTAGATGCCAGCAATGGAAATCAGGAAAATACCACAATGACTGTCTAGTTTCAAGTGTAAGCAGGCCAGATCTTCATTGGCATACTGCACTATGCTGAACTGAGGTGTCCTAATTCGGTTGTCCATGTGGCCTCTGGACACTAGAGAAATTTTCCTTGGGAACTTTTTTTCTCCTTTTCTTATTCCAAGTGATTATATGGCTGCAGGATCAGAGGAGAGGACAAAATGCTTAAACATGAAACTCTGGTCATCTGAGTGTGTGTGTGTGTGTGTGTGTGTGTGTGGTGGGGTGCTGGCTCACCTGGTCTTTTTGTGTCTATCAATTTTAAATATATATGTACATTGTTTGAATACAACTATATAAAGTACAAGTGCTTAGGCTGTGTCTTACCAGAAGTGAAAGCATGAACACCTGCAGAAAAGAAGATTTAAGTTAATGTACACTCAATAACCAAAGTAGCTTAAACTATTTTGTTGCTGAAGCTCCTTGTAATATCTTCTGAGCAGCATGGGAATAAATATATTTGTTAGATATTGCATAGATGACATTAAAATTATTTTTCATTTTCAAACCCTTCCATTGTTTTGCCCTTCTCCACCTTCATAATTTCCTCCAGCCTCACAATCCAACATATTTGTTCTCCTCTGATTCTGGCATCTTGTGCAACCCTAATTTTAAACACTTCACTATTGATGGTAATGCCTTCAGTTGCTGGGGCTCCAAACACTGGAATACAATCCCTGTGTTCCCTATCTGCTTCTCTGCCACAATTTTGTCCTTTAAGGCTGTTTAAAATAAGGTTTTGGTCATGTGAGCTAATAGCTCCTTATATGGTTTGGTGTTGTATATTTAAAGTTGAATGTAACGATCCAATTTTGAAACGCCTCAGTCTAGCAGGTTTGCAGTGCCAAATGTAATATATTTCTAAAAAGAGTCTTAAAGGTCTACAGCATGGAAAAGGGCCCATTGGTCAAAGATTTGCACCTAACTATTCTAATTCCATTTTCCAGAACTTGGCCCCTAGTCTTGTGCAACTTGGCATTCTAAATACTTTTTTAATGTTCTGAGGGCTTCTGTCTCTACCACTCTTACAGGCAGTGAGTTCCGGGTTTCCAGCACTCTCTGGTGAAATAATGTTTCCTCACATCTTCTCTAATTCCCTTCCTCACCTTAAATTTATGACCCCTGGTTAATGATGCCACCACCAAGGGGAAAAATCCCTTCCTATTTCCTCTATCTATGCCCCTCAAAATTTTATACATTTCAATCCACATCCCACTTAGTCCCCTCTGCTCCAAAGAAAACAATCTTAATCTATCCAATCTTCCTTCATAACTAAAACTCTCCAGCTCAGACAACATCCTGGTAAATCTCTCCAGTGCAATCACATCCCTGTTGTAATGTGGATTCCAGAACTACACAAAATACTGTAGCTTTGGCCTAACCAATGTTTTATACAGTTCAAGCATGACCGACTTGCTTTTAAAACTCTATGCCTCAGCAAATAAAGGCACATATGCCTTCCTAACTACTTTATCTACCTGTGTCACTGTGTTAAGTGACCAGTGGACATGCAAACCAAGGTTTCTCTGATCCTTTGTGCAACCAGGGTCCTATTGTTTTCCCCTGTCTTGTTTGTCCTGCTCAAGTACACCACCTCACACTTATTTGGATTAAATTCCATTTGCCACTGATCAGCTCATCTGACCAGCCACCTATATCATTCTGTAATCTAACTTTATCCCCCTATTTATCACCCCAGCAATTTTCATTTCATCTGCAAACTCACTGATCAACCCTTCTATATTCAATTCTAAATCATCTACGTCAACCACAAACAGCAAGGGCCACAAAGCTCATCTCTGAAGAACACCAATGAACACAGACTTCAAATCACAAAAACACATCTCGGCCATCCAGCTGTTAAGCCTGGAGACTACTCAGACCTCTCTCTATTTATGCTAATTTCTTTAATTATATCACTGTCTTTCTCCTAGTATGTGTGTGCATGTGTGTGCTTTGGGGATAGTTGAGGGATAAGCATTTGTATTTCTACATTATTGGTAAAGCATATTGATCAATTATTGCACCTTTATTTAATAAGTTTTGTTTTGCAATAAACTCATAATTGGGTTCATTAAGAGATCAGTGAAGAAAATTCAGTGTTAACATGTCAGGTCCAGTAACCCTTCCTGAGAAGGGTCTGCTCTGAGGAAGGTTCACTGGACCTGAAACATTAACTCTGATTTTTCTTCACAGATGCTGCCAGACCTGCTGAGCTTTTCTAGCAACTTCTGTTCTTGTTCCTGATTTATAGCATCCGCAGTTCTTTCGGTTTTCACTAAGAAACTTGGTTGATCGATTTTTTAAAATTCAAACTCTGAACAAGTTGATCACTTTTGCAAAAGAAAAATATTTTTTCCAGTCATCTTCTGACCTGATGAATAGTGGGGCTAGAGTCCTTCAGCCTGGGTAGCAGAGTTTTGAATAAGAATCCCTTTCTCTGAAGCTTAGGGCTTCCTGCATTCTGATTTCCTTGTCTGCTGCTGAGCTGAGTTGAAGATTTCAATTAGTGATTCAGCAGGATGACATTCCACAAATCCTCCTGGACTGCAACAGGCAGAGGTGGGAATGAGGTGACGTTCCCTACTTGCATTCACCTGCCTGATTAAATGCATTCTCAACTCCAAACTTGTTACTGCAAAAGCATTAGATTCCACCCAATAGCTGGGGAAAAGGGATGAAATTAGTAGTGATAGTAGAGAGCTCTGGCAGTTGCTCCTTTGGCTTTATCTGCTCACAGCGTTACCAGACCCAAGATTTTACATTTTGGTGGTGGAAGGGCACTGGCTTCATTCACATATTTCTTTCGACAAAGAAACTCACACACTCCAAAAACAGGTTATCATATTTCTTAGGTACACCTTGAAATAAGATTAATGTTGTTTTCCAAAAACTTACGGCTTTTATATCTTGGACGACTATGATGTGCTTTTGGTGTCCTGATTTTTTCTGGAAAATAATGTAAAACATACACGTTTACATATTTTTAAACTAGGCACCTGTTTTCATGATGTATCAATGGAGTGTTGTTGAATCCATGTTTTAAAGAATTATGTACATTGGAAAAGTGGACCTTCTTGTTTGTAGTTCTTAGTCGATTGCTTGTCTTTACATGATATGCCAAATGAAGAGAGATTTTAAAAAATACAGAAAAGAGAAACACATTGAAAAAGAAAGCAAGAGAAAGAGCTCATGATAGATGCAGAATATTGATTATAGTCTAATGACATTCATTTTAGAAAAGCAGAAAATATTCAGCATTCTGCACAGAATCTGTGGAGGCAGAAATAGGCTAATGACGATTTGTTTGTATTTATATGGAAGCTTTTATGTTGTAAAACATACCTCACAGGAGTGTAATCTGGCAAGAGTGAATGCAAATCCAAAGAAGCAGAAACAGGATATGTAGCTATGTTAGGTCAAAAAGGTAGGATTTAATTTAGGACTTTAAGGATGTGACCAAGTGAAGAGACTTAAGGAGGGAATTCTCAAGAGTAGAGAGCTTGGACAGCTAAACACACACTGCTGATTGACTAAGAAGATGGTAGATGTTCAAAAGATCTTAATCAGAGATGCAGTGAGTTCCCATTAGATTTCAGAACTGAAGGGGCTCCGAGGAGTAGGGAAGTATGTAACTGTGATGTGACTTGAACACAAGAATGCACAAAAGACATTGGAGTGTTACAATTAGATCACATGGTACGGGGTAATATACAGGTATAAATTTGGGGATCAGTCAACAAAAAGGAAACATAGAATAGGAATTTTTTAGACCATTCTCAGGTTGGCAGGCTGGAACTAGTGGAGTGCAAACATACTGTTTGATGCCTCAAACTGTTTCAAACAAGTCACCACCTGGCCTTCTAACCTCTAGTAGAAATAAGAGATAGTAGGAACTGCAGATGCTGGAGAATCCGAGACAACAAGGTGCAGGGCTGGATGAACACAGCAGGCCAAGCAGCATCATAGGAGCAGAGAGGCTGAC